CAATTGATTATATAAGCTGTTTAGGCAAATCTAATTGATTAATGCATTTCTTATCTATGTAAAATTGTACTCATTTCTCAGTATAAGTCACTATTTTAGAAATATTCAATACTATCCAGATAAACAGTTCAATCAATAATTTAATACAAAATTATAAAACTACACTACCAAATTCCAAATAGTTAATGAAATAATTTTAGGTCCCATTTTCACTTTCTAGGCATTACAGATTCATCTGTAAATCACACTTGGACTTTTTGAACCTGTAGTAGTCAATACTTATGTATACTGCACGTTGGTCTATGCATACAAATAAAGGGTTTTGTCCACAGTTAAAAGTTAGGTTCCGATACAGATTACAAATGGCATTCAATAAAATTTATACCTTCAGTATACACTTTTTTCAACAACCTTTGATCAAAAGCCTATGTTAAATGATATGTGAACTATACTGTGGTTTGCAAGGGCTGTTTATTATCAAAATGTATACTTTCTGAAAATATAAATTTTTGGAAGTAAGATTTAGGTTTTTTTTGTTTGCTATACACTCCATGGGTTTTTATACAATTGTTCTCACCATAGTATTTGATCAAATTCCAGATATGCATGAATATTGTGTGAAAAAAATTTTTGTTATGGGAAATTTAAGTCTATCAAAACCTGACAGCATTTACTATTTTGCAGCACACCCACACAGACCCTTACTCTGGGTAGACTACCTGAACTGGATTACACAGCTGCAAGGTTGAATTCTTCTATTTCTGTGCAGATAAAACTCAACAGTTTCAGAACTCAAAAGCTTGCAAAGGGACACTTGCCATAGAGACCTCTAGCCTTTCAATGCTCAGTCTCAACTCCAGGTACTACATACAACTGAGTAAAGAATGATTGCACTTGCGCTTCCAGACCTTAATTTGCATACAGAAAAGTATTCAGTGTGGACAATCCAGAACAGTAAAAAATCATAAGCTGAGTTTCCCATCCCCCACCCCACCAAAAAAAAAATAAATCATGAGACTGAATTAAAAACAATGAGACATTAAACAAAAGTGTCGAGTTTTCTTATTTGCATTATGGCCTTGTACATAAGATACAGAAAACCATAATTAGCCATGTTTGTTTGAATCCAAGTAGAAGGCAGAGTAGATTTACACCTTATGGACTAACCAAAGTAGATATTCATACATAGCACAAGCTTTGTGGGCTGAAGCTTACTTCAGCAGGTGGTGATAAGATACATCCAGGTCACATTTTCAAGATTTAAAGATGTAAAGATTTAAAGGTTGCAAACCTTTTTTTAAATGGAATATGAGACGCTCAGGTATTCTCTTGAGCTTGAGAATTGTGGCTTTTAGAATAACAACTGTTTTGTGACTTATAATAAAATGTATACAGTTGGAAGCATTGAGGACCTTATGTACACACAGAAATACAAAATTTCAGGGGAAAGGCATCCACAGAAGAGGATTCTTGAAAATATAATTCTAGGAAAGTCTCCATGGGCACATCTACACGAGAAGTTATATCGCTGTAGTAACATGATACAGTGATGTAGCATTGGCAGGCACAAACCGAGATGCCACTACAATGACATAGCTGCTAAAAATAACTGTGCGCTGCCAGGACAGCGTAGTAACAGCTGTTACTGCACCATCATTTAGTACTTCCTAAAGCAAATACTAAATGATGGTGCAGTAAAAACTGCATCATGCGGGGCACATGTAGACACACCCAGTAAAGACTATTGTATAATTCCTTTGGCTTGCAAAGAAATCTTTGAAGGCTTGAAAGGCAAGAGAACTTGCTTGCTTTAGATGTGCTGGGTGATCCCTACCTTACAGGAACTGCACAGGGATAATTATACCTGAATGATATGAATCCAGTAATAATAATAATTAGGGGGAAAGGGATGCACTTGCATTACAGGTGTGACTGTACCCTGAAGTTACAGGATTAGCTGCAAAGCCATTCTGCATGTGTCTGTGGCCCAAGGAAACATCCTCTTTCCTTGAACTACACATGAATCATTTGTGCAAAGAACTCATAAATGGGCTTTGAACAGGAAACAGGATTTGACCCTCTGGGTGCATATATTCTCAGTGCTTATCCCTCTCTCTCTCTCTTTTTCAAAACAGTATTTTAAAAAGATAAATTTATATATAGAATGTTGTGCTGATTGATTTCACACCTGGTCCTATAGTGCAAGATATTTAAATGGGAGTTTTTATTATAAGTCTTGTTTCTGAGGGTTTTGTAACTTGCCTATTTCAATTCTTTCTAGGATCACACTTGTTAGACATGTTTTAGCCTGCAGAAGAAAAGGCTTCTTCTTAAAAATTGTGCATGAGAGAAATAAATCAATGTAGAGCTATGGTTTTAGATGCCAAATGATTTTTTAAAGTTTTTGTTTTCAAACCTGTCTAAAACAAAAAAATTAGAAGCATAGTTCTCATAGGTTCCTAACTATTTTATTAAAATGTTGCTTTTTAATATGGAATAAGTAAAAATCTAAAAAAAATTAAGTGGCTAAATCTACAGTAATTTTTTCATATTTTTATTGGGTATGGATTAATACAGGGGTGGGCAAAATACGGACCACGGTCCGCACCCAGCCTATGAATCCATTCTATCTGGCCTGCGGGGCCCCTAAAAAATTTATAAAATTAATATTTATCGGCCCTTGGTTCATGTAAAAAATGACAGGAACCAAGGTCAATAGGACCCAGGGGAAGCCCAGCAGGCTCCCGCAACAGCAAGGCCCGCTCAGCCCTACCCCCAGCTGGAAGCCCCAGCCTGAGCTTCTGGCCTGGGAGCATGTGGCTGCCCTGGCTGGAAACTCAGGTAAGTGGGGTGGGGAGGGCAGAGGAAGACCCCAGGAAGGGAAGGAGCCCGGGAAAAAGCTGAGCTCGGTGTGTGTGTGTGGGGGGGGGGGAAAGCAGCCCCTTGCCTGCCCTGTGCCCGGTGCTCCCTGCTGCAGCAGCTCACAGCCCATGTGGAGCTGTTCGGAGCAGGCACAGGCAGCCCCAGGCAGGCTGTGAGAGGCTGCAGTGTGGGGCACTGGCCACGGGGCAGGGAGGGGCCACTTCCCCCCCACCCCATGCTCAGCACCATCTTGTAACCCGGCCCCGCAGCCAGCTTGGGCCCCGCGTGGCTCTGGGCTCGCCTGTCAGGACTGGACATGGAGACAGCATCTGTGGCCCTCCCCCGCAACTTGCTGTGCCAGGCAGTGTTTGCCACCACCACCTGTGGGCTGCCCAGCTCGTGAGCTCCAGGTGGGCAGCAGCAGCCAACACTGCCTGGCGTGGCAAGCGGGGGGACCGCAGCTGCGGTCACCC